AATGCCTTTACATGAGGATTGTAAGTATCGAGCATACTCTTCAGGCGCTCAACTATATTCGCTCTGATCTTTCCATTCGGATGGGATTTTCTTTAGGTTACAAAAAAACAAATAGAATTAGTAAGATCATACCAAAGTTCCTAAAGTGAAACCTTGCATTTAAGTAACACATATGGCTTTGTAATTGATGTCAGAATTATTTTAATATTGAATACAATAAACAAATCACATAAGATCGTGAATATATTAATTTTGGTAGATTTCCAGAATAACAAAAGCAGGAAAGACTTATGCGATTTTAATATTCCAAAGCAGAAAATCAGTGTAAACCCCACATGCAAACAAACAAAAAATGATTGAGGATAACACGACCATTCAAGGAAAAAGAAGTCGAAAGACAGATTTCAGACCACATACGGGATCAAGCATAGAACTACTATGGACTAAAACATCAAACAACTTATGCAATGAATAAGCACATAACCATTCAGTTGCTTCAAAAATTTCATCAACATACTCTCGACTATCAACAACCAGCCCATATGCGCGACATGCATCCTCGAATGTAAGATAGACAACCCCACGAACAGTCCTAATATCCATAAAAGAACACGTACCCTTGACTATTAGCAACAAAATTTGTAGGTAGTAGAGTTCCTCAGAAAATTCGGGACAAAACATTAATCGACTTGACCATGATGAATTTTGACAGCTAGGTCTCCAATTTTTTATACAATCCCACATGCACTTCAAAGGAAACTCCGAGTAAGTCAAGCCTCTTGCTCCTGATGAGTGAGATGGAACTGTAAGACATCTAAATCTAAAATCCACTTTGAGAACAACTCGAGCTCAGCAACATCTTGCACACAACTTGTCCTTTGCAACCTCGTGTTAGTAGTGAATTTTCGAACCTTACAATGCTTCCAAAGAGCAGAATTGTTAAAAGTTGCTAGAACAGTCTCTGCCTTAGTCCCATTCGTGATGACATGTAGGATTTGCCAAAATCTCCACCAAAAACAATCACCTAACCATCACGCATACTACTATCCAATGTCTCGTAACAATGCTTGTTCATCATTGGAGCCTCATCCCATGCAATCATCTTAGCCTCTTTAATATGCTTAGCAAGATGAGATCCCTTTGTCATTGTGCAAGTTATAAACACAGTTACGGCGAGCAGTATACCAAAATGTGAATGGGCCTTCCACTTTGTACCAATAAAGCAGCGATTCCACTTGATGCCACATTCAAAACAACATGTCCTTCTGAACGAATAGCAGCACGCAAAATACTCCAAAGAAACATTTTTTTTCCGGATCCTCCAAATCCACAAACAAAATACATTCCTCCTATATCACGATGTACATCATCCAAAATTTCGTCATAAATCGTCTTTTGTTCGGATGTTATTGTATCAACAACCGTGCATGTAGCAACTTGAGCTCATTACAATTATAACCCAATTCATTTGCAAGTATATAATTTTTATATCTCCCCATCAGACAAACATCAACACACGGCATACCAGTAATATGCTCTAAAGAACTGCCATTAGTTTGTAAAATCTATTTGATATCTGCCAAGGCTAGGTTCTAAATCTGATCTTCCGACAACGTGAAACCTTACCCAAAACAAAAGCGGATATATTTTGATTAGATACATTTGTTTACGTCAAAAAGGAAATATGCAAACGGATACTACATACAATACCTAGATCTCCATGTTTATTTCTTTGAAAATGCAATATATCTTCAGATAAAACCTCCCAAATTTCTTCCCAAACGGTTATGGGTGTAGCTATGCTTTTTGGAAAAAAGTATGATTAAAAAAGTCTGCGTAGGAAATACCCAGTTCCCCATTGACTCGCCTCCTTAATCGCCTCAATGTATTCTTTATCATCATCAAGCAAACCCAAAGTATAATATGCATCGCAAAAAGTCTCATGAGAACTCCAATGACTGTTTTGATCTTTTTAAAAACTCTGTGCACCTTTTACAATATTGAGCAATAATCTTAGATAGTACACTTTTCTGTAAGTAAGTAGAACATATGTGATCCTACCATTTGCAAAACTATATTGCCTTAGCTCCCACAAATTCCTACTCGTGCGCCAAACAAACTTGGTAGGCAAGTCTGAATAAGTCAGTTTCCTTGCATCGGGAAACTTTCTATTGCAATCCATCCAATCGAAAAAATTTGTCATAGTAAACTCTTTTCTGCTGATTACTTCGTCAGTGGGATCATCCTCATTAAACAACAAAAACTCTTGACGTAGTAAATGAAATGAAAGCTGAACAACTGCAGTTGTCCTAAATTGCATTGGAAACACAAGAATTCTCCATGTAGACTCGCAAGCCGATATGTATCTTCAAAGCACAACCCGAAGTTTGAAATTAAATTATATTTTCAAAAAAATTAAAATTAAAAGCATAAAATCAAAATCACACAAATAAACACAAACCGGCAGCTGAAATATTTTTTAGTTGTCTCCTCATGCAAGACACCCTTATCAGCACTATCACTCTCAATGGCCGCACTAACATAGTCGGGTGTCTTGTGTATATATTTAAAGAGAAATTTAACAGATCACCCACTCAGCATTAATATGTGCACAATAACGCTTAGACAATTCTTTGTTGTAAGGCACTACATACCTATATTCACAACCAAATCCCTTGTTTTGAATATTGCAGCCATCGTTATGACACTCATATATAGGAAATCCACCCTCGCCAACCTATGTCACTTCGTTGAAAGCCCTTGGAAAGTATTGTGTACATTTACCATTGAGCATACAAACACTACTTCTATTGGCTTTCCCTCAAGGACCATAGATCATCAAATCTCCCACAACCTCATATAAATGTGGTTCCTATTCTTTATCAGGAATCTCGGCTGAAATAATCTTATCGATATCATCACCAATACTTATCAAGAATCTCGGCTGAGATAAACTTAACCTTTATTTCTAATTTTCCCTCAAAAATATGATATGTACATGGTATATAAATAATTTATATATTTAATCAAATTAATAATCACATATCATTTAGCATGTATCTATCTCAAAATAATTTTGAAACTATTTAGAAACATAAAATCTTTTAACTAATTATTCTAAATATCCTTCAATCATAAACATTTTTTTTTTTAAAAATAGAAAATATAACTTATCTATAATGTATTTGCCTCACAAACAAAATCTCTATTATATCCGCATACAAAAAGTTATATGCAGACTATTTTTTTTATAGATGAATTTAACTTTTATAATTCTCAATTTGTACATCCATGAATCGATTCTGCTTTAATTCATTATTCTATCAGATAGTGACAAACCATATACGTAACAACAATAACAGAATAAGGATAGATCATAGCAAAGCACTCATATGCTATATATTTCAGCTCATATGGTTTTAAGATATATCAATCCATTCAAAAAAGTATTTCCAAACTCACATCACTCACAGGGTTTTAAAGAAATTCGCAGCCATTGTATGGTAAGATATAAACATATAGGGTTAGTATAAAATATAAAAATATAAAGTTTTAAAATATAAAAATATAAAGTTTTCTTTTGTAAATTAATTAAAGAAATTGATCAACAAAAATTGGTGGTGTGCAGAATGGTGTACATGATGTTTTATTGTAAAATGTATGCAAGTTATAATAGGTTATTAACTAACAACAATTCTACTAAATGGGCACAAATCAGTCTAAGAAAAACAATGGAACCAAGTTGAACTCAATGAGATATTTTCAATGAGATATGGAAACTGTAAGAGATGATATAGAAACATTGGAACATAGTTGAATTCATTGCAGCTATGAATAATTTTTTTTATTATCAAATTTTAGCGTTTGAAGAGACCTAAATTCATCTGAACCTTATGAAACAAAACATGTATAAATGCATACCATCAAGAAAATCCAATTGTTTGGGATTATACCTCATTGCTCTTTTAGTCATACATTGGTCAACTATTTAAATTTAATGCAATATCTGTAATTTTTATTTGTATTAACAACATACAATATATAGACATCAAACACAGTGATACGAAACAATTTAATTGGAAATAATTTACCTAATTTATTGCAACGCTAGCTCATGTTCAAGTAAATTAGTAAAATGAATAAACACATAAATATATGATTCAAGATTTCATAAACATGGAAATTGTATTGGCTATGTTATCCTTTATATAGCTTGCTTCGTCGAGCTCCGAACTCCAGTACGTATCTCGGCCATATACAGCAGCTCTAGCCGAAAATCTCGCCACGTGCAGCAACTTCCTCCGTGATCTTCAGATTCGTTTGAAGTGGCGAGAATACGCTCTGACATGGCCTGGATCTTTCCTTGTTTTTCGGGATTCTATCGAGCTGTAATTCGACCTCGTTAAACAGAATGTCTTGTTGTTCAGGATTAGATCGTTGAGAACTGAATGGGCCTGAGCCGTAGGGTCAAAACCCAGTCAATCTAGCTTAGTTTGGATTTGTCTGTTGAACTTGAATGGACCGGATTTAGGGTGCTAAATCAGCTCCTACAAGTATAGTTAGCTGTTGCAATTTCCCAACAAAATATCTCAGGCGGACCAAACTCATCTTTTTTACAAATGAGCACGTGAAAAATATGGTCGGTCCTGTCCAAGATGCCTAGAACTTTCCTCCTCCGCTCCAGCAAACTAACTTTTTGTGTATATAACCACACAAAATGGTACCAATCGCAAGTCCACGACACCTAAGTTTCTCCTAAGTTTCACTCTTCCAATTTCTAATCCATTTACACGCACACCAAAGTAAAATAAAACGGTAAACTCCTCACAGATTTTGTTACTCTCTCTGCATCTCTCTATCTTTACTGTTTTTGTACTTTGCGCATTGAAGATCCAGTTACCAATCACTGTTTTGTTTTGACCGTTTGATATCTCAGATCTGAGATTTATCATTAATTGTAAATTGTTGTTCGATCTCTTCTTCTCCAGATCAGCGGAGAGATGGCGTCGCAGGGGAACTCCACCGATACTCTTTTCTCTCCTTATAAGATGGGCAGATTCAGTCTCTCTCATCGGTGAGTTGTTTAGACTGATTGATTAGCGATCTTAAATTGTAGTGGTATATGATCATGATCCTCATCAAGCTTTTGCGTTTCAGAGTGGTTCTGGCGCCGATGACACGGTGCCGGGCTATGAACGGCGTTCCAAACGCAGCGTTGGGGGAATATTACGCTCAACGTACCACTCCCGGCGGTTTTCTCATCTCCGAAGGCACCATGGTCTCACCCGGATCTGCAGGGTAACTTCGTAATTTTTTTTAGGACCAATGATTTTTTTAAGTATATACAACCCACAATGGTTTTTCCCTTGGTCCATAACGATGAATTCTCTTTTTTTTTGATAAAAATTGGAAGTCATTTTAATCATCACTATTTTTAGTTTCTTTTTTTAATTTTTTTTTTAAAATTATTACATTAAACTAGTTGTCAAACACTTTATTTTCTAATCCAAATTAGCTCTCAAGTAATTTTTTCTATATTATCAAACATAGTACCAAACATTTTAATTTCTAATTATTTTAAATTTTTAATCGAGTAATTTTTTTTAACAACATACAAATTTTATTTACAATTCCAAAAAATAAAATTTGAGATTATCTTTTTATATATATTTTTCATCAAAAAACTATTAATATATCTTAATAAATAAATTTTATTTATTATTTTTTTGTTTTAACATAAAATATTAATATATCTTAATAAATCGTATTATTAAGATTTATTAATAGTTTATTTACTCATAAAATTTTATTTATTATTTATAATAAAATAAATAATTAAGATATATTAATAGTTTTTTATTTATTATTATAAATCTTAAGATATATTAATAAATAAAAAACTATTAATATAAAAAGATAATTAAGATATGTTAATAGTTTTTTATTTATTATTATAAATCTTATTATTAAGATATAATAAGATTTATTAATAGTTTATTTATTCATAAAATTTTATTTATTATTTAACATAAAAAATTTATTTACAATTTTATTTTTATATATTTATTATAAATAAAATATTTTATGTTAAATAAATCTTAAAATATATATCTTAAAAAATAAATTTATTTATTATTTTTTGTATAAATTTTATTTACAATTAAACGTAACATACACCACAAAAATGATTTATTGTGACTCGAAGAAAATGATGAATCTTATCTTTTATCTATTAATTATTAATTGAGAATATAGTTTAATGAAAATTGCTTATTTGTTTTAATTTGATTAGTTAATATCTTTAATTCAAACAATTTTAATGTGATATGGAAATAATCGTGTGTCATGATGATGTAATTGTGATATGTCAGCTTTTAGTACATATGGCTTGCGACATGATATTATTTAATTTATAAATAAAATTTGATGTTAAAAATTTGAGAATGTAGTTTAAATACTCAACTTTTTGAAAAAAATTAGAAAAATTATATTTTTGTCAAAAAGATTTAAAATCATATTTCGACACAAAAAATTTGTTAGCGGATTTACGGATTTCAAGTATTTAGCGAAAAATTTGTGGTAACCTATTTAGCCGAAATTTTTTGATATCATAATTTTGATTTATTAATGAATTCACAATATTTGGTAAAAAGTTACGAAATCAAATAAAAATACTCTGAAATAAATGTTTTGGTGGGAAAATTACAATTTCATGTTTTTGCAAATTATATTTTTAAGTAAGTTTTTTGGCGGATAATTTATGAAATCAAATTTTTACTGATAGTTTTTGGAATCACTTTTTTAATGTAAAGTTTTTAGCGAATTTTTTTTTATGGGTTCATTATTTCGAGGGAAATTTAGAAAATTGAAATTTTGATAAAACGTCTTTGGATATATTTTTGATGTAATTATTTTGGTGTGAAAGTTACTTATTCATGTTTTTAGCAGAAAATTTGTGAAATTATTATTTTTTTGTTGGAATCTTATTTCAAATAACTCTTATGCAAAATATTTACAAGCTCAAGTGTTTGTAAGAAATTTGTGGAATCAGATTTTAAGAAAAAGAATTTATTCATTTTTATTATCTTATCTTGTCCTACTATAAATAAAAAACAAAAGTTTATATTATATGTGAATATATTTCAATTATATAGCAAGAATTATGAACCAGAAACAGGACGAAATATGACAGAATGAGATAAAAAAATATAAAAGATGTAAAATATGAATAAAAATAGAAAACAAAAATAAAAAAGAATTATTTTATTTTATTTTACAGTTTTTTAAAAGTATTTTAAATTTTATATATATTTTTTTGTTTTTTTTTGTTATATACAATTTTTCAAACTTATTAAATTATTTTTTCACAAACTTAAATTTTATACAAATATATTATTGAACAGATCAATCACTTATTTATTATAAATTATATATTATTACTAATTAATTTAATTAAAATTTTTATGTGTGCCGACAAATCACCTAGTTTTATTTTAAAAAAAAAATCTATAGTTATTTTATTTCACCTTAAGGAAAACGTTTGTGTTTTGAGTCAATTTTGTTGTCAGAATGTGGGTGAGCGGACCTACCAATAAAGTGCCGTGATAAGAAATTAAGAATGGAGTGGTGTTTTGCTTTAGATCTCAGCCACATTTGGACAAAATGGAAAGAATATATTATTTTTTGAAAGAGGTGATTCAATTTAAATAATGCAGGGGGAAGTGTTATTCAAAATGCATACAAATTACAAAATGCAGGGGTTTTGCCAAAATACATTTTAAAAGCATTTCCCCGAGAAAATGCAGGGGTTTATCCAACTAAAAAGAACTATCATATATTAATAGTTGGTTACAAAAAAAAGAAAGAAGAACTATCATGTATATGAATAGTTGGTTACACATCAAAAATACCAACTGTTTATTTGCATCTCTTGCGATAGACAAGACTTTATAAATGTATAATGTATGTAACTTGTAGGTTCCCACATGTACCTGGAATCTATTCGGAGGAACAAGTAGAGGCATGGAAGCAAGTTACGGAAGCAGTTCACGCCAAGGGAGGCTTCATCTTCTGTCAATTATGGCATGTTGGACGAGCTTCTCATTCATGTATGCCTTATGACTCAAATCTTTTTGATAAGCAAATTTAAAAACCTTAACATTTTGAATCTTGTTTTTCAAATAGTGTATCAACCTAATGGAGGATCCCCAATTTCGTCGACAGACAAACCAATCTCGGAGAGGTGGCGAGTTCTATTGCCCGATGGGTCACACGGAAAATATCCCAAACCGCGACCTTTAAATATTTCCGAGATACCTCAATTGGTGGAAGATTTTTGCAAGTCGGCTTTGAATGCAATTCGAGCTGGATTCGATGGGATTGAGATCCACGGGGCGCACGGTTACCTCATTGATCAGTTTTTGAAAAATGGGATCAATGACCGTACTGACCAATATGGAGGATCTATTGCAAACCGTTGCAGATTCTTACTTCAGGTACCAACAAAGTCTAAGTTGTGATAGTTCCAAATGCCATGATTTTTTCATTATGTTTGTCTTCGTATGAAAACTGTTTATTAAAACAAAATTTCAGAAAAAATAATATATAAATATTACTATAAAATGTAAACCCAAACAGAGTTTTTTCTGATGTGCTTAGAACTAACTAATTTTATAATCTAAAATCTAAATCTTAAATCGAAAAATGGTTGTATTTCATTAAATTTGATAAATTTTGCTTTTTATAAGTTTAAACTAAACTTTCTTTTGTCGTTTCCTTTAATTGTTCAATTTTTATACAAAATGATAAAAGGATATAGTTCTAATGGGAAAACAATCAAATATACAGTATTATGAAATGTAAAAGCTTATACAAATATTTTGTTCAGATTAGCCGGACACTGAAAATAATTTGGACTGTTGCAGATAGTAAAAGGTGTGGTTTCAGCCATCGGAGCTGGTAAAGTTGGTGTGAGGATATCTCCTGCAATAGATCACCTCGATGCAACTGATTCTGATCCATTATCCCTTGGACTAGCCGTGGTTGATTTGCTGAATAAATTACAAGATGAGAATGGATCGAAGCTCACTTACCTTCATGTAACACAGCCTCGCTACCACGCATACGGGCAAACTGAGTCTGGTAGGCAAGGCAGCGATGAGGAAGAAGCAAAGCTAATGAAGACCTTGCGAATGGCTTACAATGGGACATTTATGTCTAGTGGAGGATTCAACAAGAAACTCGGTATGCAAACCGTTCAACAAGGTGATGCTGATTTGGTTTCCTACGGCAGGCTATTTATTGCAAACCCGGATTTGGTTTCCCGATTTAAGATTGATGCAAAGTTGAATAAATATGACCGAAAGACGTTTTACGCTCAAGATCCAGTTGCTGGCTACACCGATTATTCTTTCTTGTCACCTATTTCTCGTCTATGAGTTTAAGAAACAAGGAAAAGATTTATAGATATTTATTGCTGTTAATGTTATTTATTATTGATGTTGTAAAAACCAACACGTTAAATTCCACGTGGAATATTATTTTTGATAATCAATAATATTATTTGAGGGAAAATTTAAATAAAAACTAGATTATCTTCCATACCTTGCACGGGTTTAGTTTTACTTATAATTTGTTATTATTAATAATATATAAATTTACAAATTGTTTATGTTAATAAAATGAACTATTGATATTATACAATGAAAATATTATTTTAAATTAAATTTATCTACATATATATAATTTTCTAGTGGATTAAAATATGTTATTAAAAAATTTAAGTATGTAAAATGAATTAAAATTAAAATAAAATAAAAATTTTGTCCTTTTAAAATTTTAGAACTATTTTATTTATTTTTTTCTACTTATCGAATTCCCCGTTTCATTTTTTGTAACTATTTTTTTTTTAAATAGGTATGAAAAGATTATGGAAAAATAAACATGTATGAGATAAGTATCCGTATTATCTATTTTAAAATTGAAAATTTATAAATTATATATATTTTCTAATTTTTTGAAATTATAAAAAATTTTCAAAATCATTGTTAATTATCCAAATTATTGAAAACTTGAAAAAAAAATTTAGGCCAAGAAATGTTTTAAACCTGTTATGTTATCCAAATTTTCTGTCATGTTCTAATCAGATTCTTTTTTTTTGCAAATTTTTTTCAAATTCTAAAACTTTTATGTTTTAATTATTTAGAATTAATATATTTGGATACAGAAAAAGTGGTTGAAAAATGCTAGTTACGATAGTAAATTAAGAAGACCAAACAATACCATATTTTATTTGTTATATTATCTATAAGCATAAAAAATATTCTATAAACAATATCATGTGTATGAAACTGATGTTTATTATATTTGTAGAATAATTGTTGGGCACTACTTCTTTGTCCGAGAATATCAAATAGTTTGATCGATATTTATTTTTTTTCTCTTTTAGAAGGATTTCAGTTAATTTTTTTTTTTCTTTTGATGCAAATGTGAAGATTTTAGGAATTCAAGAAGTTGAAAGACAATCTTCTCAGAATTATTTTGACTAATTAGTGAGCATGAATAGACAACCTTCTCAGAATTAACGTCTGACACTTACTATTAGTGTAGCATTTTTTGTTTTGTTTCAAATATGAAAGCATTTAGACGAACTGAGTGTATAGAAGAGTTCGCCCTAGAGAGAAAAACGCTCCCAGGCACGGACATCGAGGCAGTCGCCGCATCTCATCGTATTCCCTCCGAGATGAGTTTCCGACGTTGCCTCCTCTCCGTCTACCCTTAGCTCCAAGCTCCCCGGAAGAAGCTTCTATGACTGGCATCCCCTTGTCTGATCGGAAGCTTGCTCCGCCCTTGTCGCCTCCTTTTCACGACGGGTGTCCTCCTCTCTCCCACCTTTCGTCACCCTAATGGCTGAACGACGACGAGCTCCTCTGAACTATCCGGCCGGTAAGCAGCGTCCTTCAGGTCGGAGTTTCAACTCCGTTCAGATCCCGGTGGTGACTTGTTCGCTTCAACGTTCTCGCCCTCAACCACCAGAATCCCCGGACCCACCGGATCCACCGGACCACCCTCCCCTTTCGGCGGATCCAGTCGTTGTCCGTCTTCCCCCGCCTTCCCTCGTGTCCCTTCCCTGGCGTTCCTCTCTCCACCCTCTGATGGTCTGCAAAAACCTCACCGCTGCTCCTTTCAAGAATCATTCTTCCTCTGTGGAAAGATCTATTGTCGGTGTCTCTTCTAAATCCTTGCTGCGCCAACCCCAGATCGAAATTGGTATCTCCTTTGTCGGATGTCTTTAATGGATCTGGAGCATTTGGATCATAGAAAGGGCTTGTGCTTTCACAAGCGAAGCTTCGGTGCTGATTTTTTGGTCGTTTTGGACCTTTTATCTCTTGCTGTTGGCATGTCTTTTTCCTCCCTATGGGAGATAATTTTACCACTATCTTTCTCTTTTGGAGATAGATATGTTCATCCTTCATTCTTTATGGATTTATTGGTTTTCTGTGGTTCCAAGATTGAATATGTCTTTACACCTCTAGTAGGTTGGATAAAAACCCTGCAAATTTCCTCTCAATAGGAGAGATTGATTATATCCTCCTCCTCTTTTGGGGAGAGAATCTCACCTCCATTTTCCCTCTCTTGGAGAGGTGTTGTTTCTATGGTTTCAGAACCTAGGACACATTGTCAATCGCTAACCGTTTTGCTATCTTGTGTAGCGGTCTTTTTGGGACCAGAAGATGCAACGGGATTTATTTCGATGAATTTCCGAGGTATAGATTGTATTTCAAAGTCACAAGTTAAAGTGACCAACCCTCAAGTTTCAGGCTCTGCCGTGAATGCTTCATCGACGCATCTGAATTTATTAGATTCGCTGTCGATTTATCCATCTTCTTTAATTTGTACTGTCGTTAAGCTTTGTTTTTTCAATCAAGGAGTTTTTAAGACTTCAAACTATCTTTATAAGGCTACCTTTTAATTTAACGAGAAGTGTTTGAACAAAAAAAAAAAGATAAACTGAGTGTTGCCTTTGAAATCCATATATGTTCCTCCTTTATTTTTTTTTTGTTCAAACCATATATGTTCCTCCTTAGACCACTGATATAATATCATCTTCAAAACATTAAAGGAGTAATATTTGGTTTTTTCAAACTAACTAAAAGAGTAATATATAAAATAAATAATTCACACAAAATCGAGTAGATTCAGTCTAATTTTCTTTAGCTTTATTTTGTCCTCAGAGATCAACATTTTCACAGTAACACGTTTTGTGGATCTTTTCCATATGCCTAATGTGTTATGTTGACTTGAACAGAAAAAACAAAATTCTAAACACAATTGTCATTGCCAAATGTAATCTAACAACAATTATAATATAAGCACATATTTATTCATTGATACAAAAACATACATTAGATAGGAACAACATCACCAATACAATTTAATTATAACATTATCAGATATCACATCAGTCAAATGTATATTAAAACTACAGAGGATAAATGTGTTTATAAGCTTACAAACCTTACATAATGACAATCGTTTTGACTTATTTCATTCAGTAAAAGTTCATATTTCTTCAGCTATATTCTTTTTTTGTAAACATGAATATTATAAATCTAGTCACTAAAAAAAAAAAATATGGTAAATATGTAGTTTGAAACCCATTTAAAACAAATGCATAGAGAAATAATTCAATGAATAATGAATGATCAAGGACGTGTTGCTTCTCAAACTGTATGGGAAAGAGGAAGTTCGAATTGATTTCTTACTGAGATGAAAATGAGGTTAGATCTTTGGATTCTTTTTTTAAAAAATATATATTAATGGATTTGTCGATTGATATGCTTAATATCTCCACATAAATCTTTCAAATTTAATAGGTTAGGATTTGGAAGATACTATGTTAACAAATTTAATATACTTGAATAGTTAGTTTAGTGATACAAGACTTTTTGAGACTTGATTCAATTATCCAAGCTTGTACTAATCAGTATGTTGGACAGCTTTGACTTGATATTCTTTGTAGTGGTTTGGTGAAAAAGCACTAGGAAGGAGTTTAGTGGTTTCATTGAGCAGCAAGTCAACTCTCATCTGCAAGGCTTTCATTTCGTGCAATGCTGTCTCTAGCTTTTCTTCAGTGGCTTTGGACTGTTGTTCCTTATCATCCACATAATCCCAATTGCTGAGTGCCATGTTCTCCACTAATATCCAACCTTCATCAACATCTTTCCCAAGAAAATAACCATTACTTGCTGTATCTAGAAAGATTCTTATCTTTGGGAGAACACCTCTATAGAGCGTGGATAGTAGCAGTTCCTTGGTGAAGCCATTGTGAGGGCATTGATGAGTGAAGCCTCTAAATCTTTCCCAAGTGTCTCCAAAGCTTTCATTAGACCACTGCTTGAAGTTTGTGATCTCATTCCTGAAATGTGCAGTTCTTGAGGGAGAGAAGAACTTGGTTAAGAAATCACCTTTGCATTGTTCCCAAGTGTTGATGCTGCCTTGTGCTAAAGACTTTTCCCACATTTGAGCTCTACCACTAAGAGAGAATGGAAATAATCTGAGCTTCAAACCATCATCTGAAACTCCACTAAGCTTTGTCAAAGCACATATCCTCTCAAAGTGATCCAAATGTTCAAGAGGATCTTGGTTGGGCAATCCAAAGAACTTCTGCTCTTGAACCATAGTGATCATGCTGCTCTTGATCTCATAGTGATGAGTCTCTATGGGTGGAAGAATACCTTGTCTTGAAGCATAACTTGAAGGTATATCAGCAGCACCAATAGGTCTCAATGGTCTTTGAAACAAAGCTCCTTGTAAACCATGTTGACCTTGCTGTCCTTGTAAGCCTTGGATCCCTTGAAGACCTTGTGGACCTTGTGGACCTTGCAAACCAAAACCAGAAGCATACTGATGTTCTTCCATGCTTCAACAGCTGAATTCTGATTCTGCAAACCCAAAATCTTTGACCTTGAACCTCAGTTGCAATTGTAGACACTTAAGAACAAGTGTTGTGGTACCTATAAAAGAAATTCTAGACCAAAAGAGAAATCAGTGACTAAAATCGAAAATAACAAAGCTTGATCTCAAGATCTCTACAAATCCTACTGAACAAAGCATTCCCCTAATGGCAACGGCGCCAAATTGATACAAGACTTTTTGGGACTTGATTCAATTACCCAAGCTTGTACCAATCAGTTGTAGTATATCATAGGGTTTTATCAATCCAAAAGGGGAGAATAAAACAGTAAGAATGCAATAGAGATCTTAATTCAAGCAGATAAAGATGGTTTTAGATGTGTAACAACCTAAGTGAGCAAGCAAAGAAGCAAAATAAAGCAATTAAAGAGCAGTAATGGCAAAGAGAAACAGAGCAAAAAACAGAGTAAAACTGAACTAAAACAAAGTAAAACTAAACTTCAAAGATGAAAAGATGGTTCAA